CAGGCTGACTGACAAGGGATCAGGATGCCGGCTTCTTGGAGTCAGTGGATGTGCTTGGATATCCCTACCTTGGCCTCCAGCTGAAGGGGGTACTACCACACATGGGCGGGGGTGGCAGAGGCCAACAATTGAATCACCACCGGGGCATGGTGTTTGGCCAGTCCGGGTGGATTGGTTTCAGCCCATACTTGGGGAAACTTTTTCTGAAGGTAGTCCCATTTTTGTTCAGGAGGTTCTGCACCCTCCTTTAGCAGTTTAAATTCATCTTCAAGGGGGAACCGTTACCATAATGGCAGAGGGTGGCTTGAATTTGAAAGTCCCTCCTTCAGGCTCAAAGGAAATGACAGCCCCCAATTTTCATAGTAGATCTCTTCCCAACAACAGGTATGGGCACTCTGGGATGACTAAGAGGGAATGAGTAACAGTGTCTTTTCCCAGATTTACAGTTCATTTAGTGGTCCAAGGATAAGAGGCTGACTTTCCTGTGGCCCCGGTAATGGAGGACTTTAGGGAAGAAAGGGTTCCAAGGGGGGTCTTCAGGACAGAGTGGGCCGTGCCAGTGTCCACAAGGAACTGGACATCTGTTCCCACTATTTCCAAAGTCACCATAGGCTCATTAGGGTCAAGCGGCCATGAGCCTCGGCCCTGTCAATCTTCCTCATCTACCAAGAGAACTCCATCTCCTTCTTTCTTAGTCTCTTTCTCGCTCTTTCTTTTCAACTTTTCACAATCCCTCTTATAATGGCCCTTCTCTTTGCAATACGCTCATTGGTCCTTCTCTAGTGAGGGCCATACCTTATTTTTATCCTCCTTTTTATTTTTTCTTTCTTTTTGGACAAAACCTCCATCTGTCAAGGCAGCAACGTTCAACTTTCTTATCTTTTTAGCCATTCTATCCTCAAAAGGATCCCTGTTGTTAAACACCTTCATTGCCACACTCATCAACTTTTCCCTGTTTTCTCCCTCAAATTCCTCCATCCGCTGTAATTTCTTTCTAATATCTGGGGCCGACTGGTAACAAAAGCCAAATTAATCACCTGGCAATTTGCAGGGGCATCTGGGTCAATTGGAGCATACGTACGGTATGCTTCCAACAGATGCTCCAGAAAGGCAGAAGGGGATTCCTCAGGTCCTTGGAGGACCTCGTTTACCTTGCTCAAATTGGTAGGCTTTTGAGCGGCTCCCCTCAAGCCAGCTAGGAGATGCTGATGGTAGTTTTGGAGAGCTTCTCTCCCACCCGAGGAATTAGCTTGCCACAGGGGATGGGTGGACGGAAATTGCACCTCAACATGGGCCCGCTGTTGTTCATTGAGTGGGCCCTCCATTCCTCCTAACACCGACTTTATGGCTTGCCCTCAGATCCTTTCTCTTTGCTCGGAGGTAAAAAGGGCTTGGAGAAGTTGTTGACAATCATCCCAGGTTGGGTCATGGGTATGAAAAACAGATTCTAGGAGGGAGATCAAAGCCTGAGGTTTTTCTGAAAAAGGGGGATTTTGATGTTTCCAATTATACAAATCACTGGTAGAGAAAGGGATATAGACATAATGACCCTGTTCTATTTCCCCAAGAGGCAGAAGAGGAACTGAACTAGTCCTTTCAGTGGGAGCCCCACTGGGACCATAAGCGGCCCTTGTTTGCATGTGGGAGGGGGAGGTTATAGAATCTGGAGATTTTTCTTCTTCGGGAAGAGGAGGGTAGAAAGGGTTTCGAGATCTGGGACTGGTTTTATCAGAGGAGAAGGATGGCTCCACATAGGGTGGAGGTCTTATAAAGGGGTCTAAGGGATCAGGATCTTGTGAGAGCATTGTCTTGGGAGCCTGGGCTTTGACCTCTTGGGGTTCCCTTGGGGCCATAACCAAAATGCGAGAGTTTGTTCACAAGGAACAATGCTGCAACCAAGCTGGAGGCTCTTGACAAGCCTGACCCCAGATATTTATATATGGAAACTGATCAGGATGGCTAGAGTGCCTGGTGACCCTTTTCTGTATGGCCCGGCAGAGGCTTGGGTCAAAAGAGCCCTCAGCTGGCCATCCAACTCCAAAGGCCGGCCATTCCAATTGATACAGGGAGCGAAGTTTTCCACCAGAAAATTTAACCCCATATTTGTCCTCCTGCTTGGGGGGAAAAAGCCAATTTAAAATTAGTGAGGAAACAGTCCAATGGGGTAGTCTTGGAGCAGGATCCTCCCATCTCTGTCCTTGATGGTTTGGAAAGAAATTCAAAATTAAACACACAATGGATAGGACACTAACATATGAATGACAAGACAAACAGGTGCCACAACAAAAGTGAAACTAAATCTTCCCTTGTTCCTCCTCAGGAACCTTAGGGTCAGGGGAGGCTTACCAGCCTGTCAGTCACCTCACTCCTGACTTAACAAAC